AACAGAAAACTTCCTTGGCATTTCCCTAGAGGTGCACGGTATTAAGTCCTTCAGTTTTTTCACAAGACACAGCAGGAGCCTGGTGCATTGATTTGTCAGGCAAGGAAAACAGTCCAAATGCAGAATTAACATGTCTCTGGCAAAACTCACAGAATTTGACAAGAATAAGTTACAACTGACACCTCAATCCTTGCAGACTAAGTAAACACTGAGGTCATTTTAATAAACACTTTATTTCTCTTAGACAAATCCTTCAGTATTCCTTTTAGCCCACCTAATAACTCTTCCGTGGCAACAGTGTTTGGAGAGTTCCCATCTGACCTGGGATCAGACTAAGCCAGTGACACCAGTGACTATTACATTACTGGGGTAAACAGCAATGGCCTTGCAAAGTCACACACTGCCTCTGGATGCAGCTGCTCTGAAAGTCCCTCTGGCAAAGGTCAGGAGACCTGCCAGGGCTCCAAGGATTGACTGAAACCCCCGAGGACTGGATTGCAGTGGTTGCAATATTACTCTAATCAGTAAAATAAAAGCTTCTTTTCATCAACTGCTAATCACAGGACTTCATTTGTCTCCAACTTCCTTCAGTTGCCTTGACAGATGAGAGCACAATAAAATAAATAAGAAATGACAGTTTACCAAAGAAGGTTAACATAAGGTTATGACCTTTTTTAATTTGACTTCTGGAGCTTATTCATGTGTGAAAACACTTTTGTAGCTGTAGCCTCAGCATTCCTTACAGATCTGGACTTGTGCCAATAATTGAGTTTTTAAATGGTATTTATGTTTGGAAAATATCATTTTTTGCTTTTTTGGGATGTTTCAGTAGAATTGTTTTGCATTAGTATAAATATAAAATGAGAATATCTGTACGTTTCAGAGTATCACAAAAGAAGTCGGTGGTTCTTCTGCTTAACAAGGAGGTATGGCACAAAGGTAAAGCTGATTTGTGCATGCACACAAACATTTCCTCTCCCTTACTCAGACCAAGTTACAGCTTTTCTGAGCAAATCCACCCACGAACACTAAACACACTGCCCCAGAAACACTGAACGCTGGTACAGATGCCTAGGGCACAGAATCAGGCTGACAGTCATATCCTAATAAATGTCAAATATTAATTTGTTGTATTATTTGGGCAGTGATTTAAAGTCAAATCTCTTCTCATCACTAATTTCCATCAGACACATGAAGAGCGAGAGGTAAGCGTGAGCTTAATGTCAAAATCTGTAATGCCTACGTGACTATCTGCCAGAAAATATTTCTCTGACAGATAAGAAAACTGAAGTTGTGTCCCTGAACACTGGAAAGTAAAATCTGTAGTACAACATGTAGATAATTAGTTTTGAAAGGCTAATCAGTTCATCACTCTGGCTGGCATTTCCATATAGATGCACGTGTCTTCACCTTACTACCTCTTGACGTAAGGATCCCTTAATGAAGTGAAGGAAGACTTTACATACCACATAACTCTGAAAGATACACCCTGCTGTAAAAGCCCCCAATTAGTTAGAAAAGATCCTTAGAGGCCTTGGAAAGAGCATGGAACCCCCTGTGTGGGGTTCCATGCTGTTTGTCCCAGGCTGTGCTGCTTGATCTCCTTCCTCACATGGCTCTAACCAGCCACAGAACCATGCAAGAAATAGACGGTTTGGTCAATGCTGATAGCAATAACGTATTTTAAGATTATCTCACCCACTCTGGGCCCCACAGTTCAGGAAGGACAGGGAACTGCTTGAGAGAGTCCAGCACAGAGCCACCAAGATGATGAAGGGAGTGGAGCATCTCCCTGATGAGGAAAGGCTGAGGGAGCTGGGGCTCTTTAGCTTGGAGAAGAGGAGACTGAGGGGTGACCTCATTAATGTTTATAAATATGTTAAGGGCGAATGTCATGAGGATGGAGCCAGGCTCTTCTCAGTGATGCCCAATGGTAGGACAAGGGGCAATGGGTGTGAGCTGGAACACAGGAGGTTCCGCTTAAACTTAAGTTTCTTCTCTACAGTGAGGGTGACAGAGCACTGGGACAGGCTGCCCAGGGAGGGTGTGGAGTCTCCTTCTCTGGAGACATTCAAAACCTGCCTGGACGCCTTCCTGTGTGATCTCATTTAGGTTCCTGCTCCGGCAGGGGGATTGGACTAGATGATCTTTTGAGGTCCCTTCCAATCCCTGACATTCTGTGATTCTGTGATTTCATGCTGTTGTCTTGTTCATATTCATGGAGCCTTGTGTCTTGCACACGCCTTTGACACCCTAGAAGGCAGAGGTGCTGAGCATCCTCAGCTCACTCCAGCTGTGAAATTAGGCCTTTGGCTCTCCTAAAATTGCTCACAAACCCCCAGCTATTATTGATCAAATCAGCAGGACACTTCATTATGTTGTTGGATTAGCGAATTTTTATCCACTTTCCTTTCTTTAGCATTAAATAGCTACAAATGGCTGAAACTACTTTTAAAAAAAAAAAAATACAGTTATTTCCTGGCATCTTTCCTTTTTGTCAGAAGGATGCTCTGGTTTGTTTCTGAAAAGCAAGATTGATCTCAGCACTAATAATGACTTACTGAATAAAATCTGTATTACTTCCATGGTGCTTTTCTAACGATACACCTTATTTGTACCTTGCCTTATGAAAAAAAAACCCACCCCAAACCGTACACCAATTGATCATTTCAGTCACCAGTGAAATAAAACAAACCGTGAGACAGATAATGGGAGCAGAATAATAGTACACATCTATTTAATGCTCGAGTTTAGACTAAGGGGTAACATAAAGCACAATGATGCTATAAAGAAAAAGAATGTACCTCCTCAGAACAACTATAAGCCTTATTCCTTCGAAAACACTGGCTAACCTGAACGAGAAGCTGTTTTATTCTCATCTGGAAAACAACCCCTTTGAGCAACCCAGAGGCATCAATAAAACACCGATTCAATGTCACATCCTGACAGACCAACACCTTCCAGCAGCACAGAGTTTTATTTGGAAGCTCTCTTTTCCCATATGTAGTAATCAACCACTAAGTTACGTATGTTGCAACTTCTGATGGCTAGAATTTGGCTAAAGAAGCCGTCTTGCAAGTCAGTATAGCCATATGTTCGTCATTATCATCTCCATGGAGATTCAGGTGTAATTAGTGTCACCGTTACGTTCACTTTGTTCTATAACTTGAACGTTTCCAGTTTATTGGATGTTTCCATTTTTCTCTGAAAATTTCGAAAAGCAGCTGCAAAATGGCTAACAATACAATTCCAGGTTAGATAATACGTAGTACAAGAATCAAATATCTTAATGTCTGTTTGAGATTTTAAAGAATGTCAAAATACTAGAATTTAAAGTGTAATTTTAAGAATAGCAGAATTGTGCAGAAGGAACACTAATTTAACTAACTTCTTAACACGCTATTTTAATAGAAACAGGACTCTTGTATGTTAATCAACTTAGGTTTACAATCAGTAGGACCTCTGCTTTCAGAAACTAGAAGTTTTTGAAAAACTTTGATGCCGATCTGAAAGCAGTAAGTAGTCATCAACATCCAGACCTATACACTGGTTTGTGAGCATATTACCAACTAGTTCCCAAAAGAGGAAAGAGAAGACTGAGGTGAAGTAGCAGGAACCTGTGAATCATGCATAGTATTTCTGCCTTGAGCTCTCAAAAGGGCAAAATGAAAGCATGGAGGATCATAATGATAAACTTCAATCAAAACAAAATAACCATCTACAGCTTATTTACACTGTCAAGTTGGATATCCAACGATAGCTTGCTGTCGAAAATAATTCTACACTCTTCTAGTGAAAAAAAGGAGTGCAGCTAAATAAATTATCAAGTTAGGATAAAGAATATGATCACAGCTAAGAAATACATTGCCTTGTACAAAGCTTAAGAAAGGAGTTGAAGGACAATGGTAAAATGAAATCCTGGAAGAAAGGAATTTGCGAGATACTACGCAACAGGAAAAGCCAGGTAAGATGGTTTCTTGTGAAAAGATGGTAATACAGTTCATGAAAACCTACCTGCACCTTTCATCTTGAGATAATGGGGGTTGGAACTAGATGATCTTTAAGGTCCTTTCCAACCCTAACCATTCTATGACTCTATAATAAAAACAAGTCAACGATATACATACTGCAGCAGTGAAATGCAATTGAGGGTAACAATGAAATGCAATCCAGGTACACAGCCAGTGCACATGAGATCACAGGGCAGCAAACATTCATTACCTGTGTTAGAGCAGAGTCCCAGAAGAAGGAACTGCTCTGGCCTGCAATACAGCACACCTTGGCTACCTTACACCTGATCTCCTGATTTTGCATCTGATGATGTAAATAAGGTTGTGACTGTAGGTCAACAGATCAGATGGGCTTGTTTACACCCACTCCACATTTACCAGTGCATCTTTAAGAAGTCTAACCATAACTGAAGTCTAACCATGATTCATTATGTGTTCTAATATGAGCTTATGTGATGTTTTTTCTTCTACACAAAGTCAAGCATTTCCACAAGAACAAATTTTACCTCATAATGCTCTATTTAGACTTATATTTCTCTTAGGAAGAAGACAAATGCTTTTACATAGCATGTGATTTTAAATCCTTTTTTATTCAGTTAATCTCTAGTTGTGGAATTGTGACTGAAATGCAAATATGTATGTATATTTCCTGATAGGAACCATTTTGTTTTAGAGACAGATGAAACATTATCAAAGGTATACACTTTCTTCAGGTTTTTACATTGATGATGGAAATTCCATAATCAGAACATGGCATGGCCAATCCAGGTTAAGCGATATTTTTTTTCAGAAAAATAAAACAAAAACCTCAAGCCTTTGAAGTGTTCTTACAGTTACATCTTCATAATCCAGACATGAGAAGATCTGCACTCTTGACAACTCTGAGTATAGGCTCTTCAGCTGGCTCCTGATAAAAGCTAACATTTCCTTTTCCTTTCCAAGGTCTTCTCTGATTCATTAACAGCAGTGAGACACAGTATAAAACATTACCTCCACATGATTTTCCATCTTCCTCCAGTTTCTGGCCAGCTGGACATTTGCAGTGGTAGCTGCCGATGGTATTACAGCACTTGTCATGACAGCCCCCGTTCTCAGTGGTGCACTCATTTACA